GTCTCTCCAGTTTCGAGATAAGGATTTCGCGCGGGATGGTAGTGAAGGCTTTGCATGGGTCCAGGTAGATGACATCAGTTGCCTGTCCTCTACCCACCAAGGTTGTGACCCCGTCGTGGAAGCCCATATCAGTCAGGTGGCCTAACTCCTGGACCTTCACGAAGAGAAGCGGAGCAGGAGGGCAGCCAGGCTGGTCACGCGAGTGCCAGGGATGCAGCCAGCAGGGTGAAATAAGTCCAGCCTGTCCCTTCTTCTCGTGCTTACTCGGTCCCTTCCAAGGCATAATTATTCCAGTTGCACCCAGATCGCCATGCAAGTGATCCCTGATGTTTTCCTTACCAGTGTCCCTCTTTGCCACGTGTGACCCTGCCGCTTTTCCCTCCACTCAGGTCACTCTGGTGACTGCTGGGACACTAACCATCCCGGGAGGGTCTGGGCTGTGGCGTGACGAGCCCCGTGCTCCCGACGGCGAATGGGCACAGGGTGTTTCAGTGCAAGGCGCCACGTTGTCTCTGCTGTACAATTAATGGCTTCCAAAGCCCTCAACTTGTGTTGGGAACCCGAGGTGATCCCTGTGGGGCCCCTCTGCAGCTCCCAGCTTATGTGGCCCTGAGCGGGCCTGAGGGATTCCCCAGGAGCAGGATCTTGTGGCTGTTCTGTACTGCTGTTGGGCTTGGGCCTGTTCTGTCCCTGGCTCTTCTCTAAGAATCTGTGTTCTGCCCTAGATGAGGAAACCGAGGATTTGTACCTTGTGGACTTCACTCAGAAGATCATCGACAAACAGCATGAGGTCTGGGAGCTGTCTCAGGGTGAAGCTGCTGGAAGGACTTCAGAGAAAGAGGCAGATGATGAGGAAACTCAGCCTGAGGCAGAAATCCCACCACCCCAGGACCCGGGTGAAGAATGGTGGGTACTGCTGATGGGGCTGATCTCCAGAGTGTGTGGAGTGGCCCCTTTTCCCCCAGGTTGCACTAGACACGGAGAACACATGGTAACCTCCTGTCCTTTCGAGTGTTACACCACAGTCCTTCCTGCGGCGTCCCTTCCCCAGAGGTGAGGCTGCCCTAGAACTCAGAGCCAGGGGTTTGGGAAAAGCCACTTGGGGAATAGGAGCGCGAGGGAGACACCGGGCTGTCTTCTCTCGGTCCCTTGCGCAGTTCCTGGGTGCAGTACGAACAGGATTTCACACTTCGATCTCTCGAATTGAAACGTACCCCAGCCAAACTTGGGGGTTTTACTGTACCCACTGTCCCCACCTTAACTGCGGGAGAGTGACGAGGTGAGCAGTCCTGCGTTGCATGCCCTCCTCTTCAGGAGAGAGGCTGACTGCAAAAGCAACCCGATTTTCCTGCACTTCTTCCTCTTTAACCGCAGCAGCGCAGATAGTCTGGGCCAGTTCGCTGGGGCTGGCCGCGGACCCACGGGTTTTCATCCAAGACAGTAGGAATAATGATGAAAACAGGCTGACAGCACATCGTCCTTGCCCCTTTGTGTAACGTGCTGACGGAGCAGAGGTTCTTACTCGGGGTAACCAGTTTGAAACAGCGGTAGCCGTCAGAAACCAGAGCAGCCCCGCGTGCCCCTTCCGTCGGCCCAGATAAGATGTGCAGTGTAGTGTCTCACAGTAACCGTGGAGAAGGAATCCATCTGAGCACCCTGAGGCTGCTGGGCTGGGGAGTCACGTGCCCCGCTACCGCACCCGACTGAGCCTCGAGGTGGGGCTGCCACAGAGCGATGGGCTCGCGCTGCCGGGTGCTCTCATCCCCGTGCGGCGCCACAATGTCGGCTGCTGCAAGTCGTGCTCCCGCGGTGCTTTTCCACCCCTGCCTAGTCTCGCATCAGTGCCACATGTTACTGCTACCAATGCGTTGTCCATCTCAGCGGGGCCGCATCCTAGCGGGGCGGTTTGGGGGCTAGAACAATTAGTGCTAATGATTCTGCAGCCATCTCGAGCTGCGCGTACTGACATCTTTCCTGGCGGGAATGTGGAGTTGTGTTACGCTGTGATAAAAACCACTGGGCGCTGAGGATGTGCTGAGCTTTTGATGTCCTTGGCAATTACGCAACAGACTCTGGGAGTTGGGCTTTTGGGAACTAGACGGCCAGGCGCGCTGTTGCAGATGCCACATGCATTCCTCAGAAGGGTAAACGCGGCAGCTCGCCGCGAGAGAACTTTGTAGCGCTACAGGACCGTAAGTGCAGCGCTTGGGAGCTTTTCCACACCTGTAAATCCAGTGCTCGGTCCTAGGAGGAGTGGCCTAAGGAGCACAAGTGCAGAGTGTGCCTGTGTTTTAGCCAGCCGTCGCTACGCCAGCTGACCGCACGCTGCAGCCCCGTTCCAAATGGGCTGCAGGCTCGTCGGTGAAGTAGCTGGCAGCAGTCTCATACCTGCAGGGACTCGATGCTGTGGCCGTATTTTCAGCGTGGGAAGCAAGTGCTGGGCTCAGCTTTACTGCAGTGGGAAAAGTGCGTGACTTGGTACCTTGGGAGTGTTCTCTCGCACCACCTTGCTGCCAGGGCAACAGCTGGCTGCAGGCGAGGTGTGGCGGGTGTCTGCCGCATGCCGTATGCTCCCTCCGAGCCTGCCCACGGAAGGCAGAAGCGGCACTTGCACGCGGAGAGACTGGGAGGGGATGAATACGCCTTGCAAGCATCGCTGCTTCTGGCTTCTGCTTCGGAGTTCTGTAAATCCGCGAGTAGCAGCGTAACCTCCCTTCTTTGCTTCCACGGCAGGGTTGATTACGTGGACTTCTTGGGCCGATCCAGACGCTGCATGAAGAAGGATTTGCCAAGTCTTCTTAAAATGGACCGGGAACTTCAAGGGAAAAGGTGTGGCTTCTCTGGTGGGAGTGTGTGGCTCTTGCAGAATTTCACACGCTTCAGTGAATGAGTAGGAAAGGAGGATGTTCTTTTGATCATGTTCTCCATCCGGAATTGGTGGCGTTGCTGCCTTCTGCAGATACACTTCACGCCAGCTTTTGCTGGTGCCTGCGGCGTGCCCGCAGGAGCAGAGGGCGCAGCTGCAGAGCGGTTGTGCGTGACCCTGATTTTATCCAAGCTTTCTAGTATAAGCTCATACGGTGTTCCTAGGCCTCTGCTTTGTGCACCCTGGCAGCTCGCCACCTGAAAGGCAGGCTGGTGGCTGTTGCTTTTGAACTGCAGCAGCCTGTGGGCCGTGGACGTCCCATACAAGCCCTGGGGCAGTTTTTAGTAACCTGCGCTGTGCCGGCTGACCAGAGCTAAACCCTGGCTTACAGAGCCCAAGTGTAGCGGGGGGATTCAGCAGGCTCTCAGGTATTTGAGGCATCTTTCCAAGCTGTGCTCCCGGTATGGGCATGGTGTTTTATGGTACCTTCTGGAATGCCAGCGAGGTGACTCCTGGTTCTTTTTGACCTGCAGATTGATCGTAGTCCTTGAGCAATTCCAAACCCGCCTCCTCCGGCTCCCTCCCCCTTTGCACCGGGGGCCAGGGGAGGTGAGCAAGCGGCCGGGTGGCGCTTGGCTGCTGGCTGGGCTAAACCTTGATGCTGGCTTTCGGCCAGAAGCTGGAGCAGTGAGTGCTTCGAACTTGCAGCCTCTGCACTGCTATGAGTGGTGGTCTGCCAGCAAAACTCGCTGCAGCGGGACAGGAAAAGATCCTGCTGCTTCCCTGCGGAAACAGAAGCCTTTCCCAGATGGGGTGTTAACGCTGGGCAGGCACTCCTAGGGTAGAGGGATGGCTGGCGCTTGGGCCTGCAATGAGCCCTGGTTTATGAAAGCCGCACCAGTGGGACCACCCCGGTCATAGCTCCATGGTTGGATACCGTGGGCCTGGCAAGCTCCGCGCTGTCATCTCCAACTGCTCTTCTGTTTTCTTGGTGTGAATTAGAGAAGGCCCCGACGGGAGTAGTCTGTTGTCTGAAGACATGAGAAGAGAACTTCAGAGGCAGCAGTGGGAAAAAGAAGAGGCAGCAGCCCTCAGCAGACCCATGGGACCCATACATTACGAGGACATCCGAGAAAACGGTACGCTCCATCCTTCCTGTCACCGAGCTTTCTGTCACCAAAGAGGTTGGTCCTGGGGGAGGTATGGGAAAGCCGCCTCTTGTGCCTTTATGGCCAACCTCAGGTACGTGTTACACCACGTGTAATGACCATTCAGACTCGCTGTACGTAACTCTGTTGTGCCCAAGACTGTGTGTTTCAAGTGTCATCACATCCTCCCGTGTGCCCCTGCGGACAGCTTCGCTTCTGCAGCCTCGGGAACGGGTCTCTGTTGGCCTCTGAAGCCCACGGGGGGTGTTGCTGGAGCAGTGCATGCCTGACAGCAGCGCACGCGGTGCTTGTCCTCTCTGGCCGTGATAAACTGATTTCCCTTGGCTTTTCAGAGGCCAGACAACTTGGCGTGGGCTACTTTGCCTTCTCTCGGGACAAAGACCTCAGGCATAAGCAGCGGGCTACGCTGGATATGCTCCGGGAGCAGGTATGAGCGTGCAGAGCACCACGGGGTGTGCGGGCACCCCAGTTCCAGCGCTGCTGCATCTCATTGCTCCGGCTGATGCTGGTCACGCCTGCAGCTGGCTCTGGAACCCTGGGGCCTCTTTCTCCCTGTCGGAACAGGATGCTGGATGAGGGTTGCTTTAGGTTGCTTGGGGAGGGGAGGGATGGGGTTGGTTACAGTAACCAAGGGAGGTTAATTTGTGTTTCTCGTTGCTGTTAAGACGCTCGATCAGAGAACTAAGCGCGAGCACGTGAAGGAGAAACGGAAGGCGGCTCTTGACGCCAGGCTGGCTAAGCTGCGGGCACGGAAGGTGAAGAAGTTACGGGAAGCTGGATTAGAGGAAGAGGCAGAGCGACTGGAGAACGCAGGTAGGATCTGCCTTTTCCAGTGAAATACTGGCTCTTGCAGCTTGTACGGGGTTGAGGGGCACTCGATGCAGATCTCTCCCGTACGTACAACTAGCGCCACCCTTCAGGTACTGGGAGCTCTCCCCGTAGTGTGGACATGTGAAATTGCGCCGTGGAAGCTTGATGATGGGCAGGTAGAACCGCGATGCTGGAGCCTGGTGCTGCGTGCGTCGCACCTAGGGCAGGGGTCCCGCGGGTGAGCGCGCAGGTTGGGGCGAGAGCTGCGCAAGTCTAGCGGCTGGTGCCTGGGGGAGGGATGGAAGGCAGGGCAGCAGTAGGGCACCTTTGCTGTAATCCATGCTCACCGTTTCGGGGCCGTCTGCAGATTGGACACCCAGGGCGTTCTTTCCTGATTTTCCAGCTTGGGAGCAACCCGGGGTGCGCTCTTTCTTGGGTTATTGTGCGGTAGACTTTCAGCAGCCCAAGATACAAGTAGAAAGCTCCTGGAGCGCCCCTGGGCAGACAGGCTTCCTGCTTACCTGGCTTGCCCCTCGTCTTCCCTGAGCCAACCTGAGCGTAAAGCCCACCTCGCCCCTCGTGTGCATTCTGTTGCTGGAGCACCATTCCAGCACTGGTAGGAGCTCCACAGATGCACATAAGGGCTCCTTCCTGTTCCTGCTGCAGGGCTCCCTGATCTAACCTCCTCTCTCCATGTCACGCAGCGCTGAAAGGTGACGCTGATGAGCCCGAGGCTCCCCGAGTGCCTGCAGCAAGCAGAAAGGTAGAGGTGCTCATCCAGGAGAGGAGAGACACGAAGCCTGGCGTGCCCTACGTCCGGGAGTGGGACAAAGGCAAAGGTAAGGAAAGCTGGAAGCGCAGTGCTGTGTGGAAATGCACGCTGCTCTTTGCCTCTCTGGTTTGCCACGGAGCGTGGCGGGACTGAGGGGCCATCGAGCACTTTCTCCTGTCGTGTCGATGACTGTCTGCGCTGCAGCACTGGCCAACAGCCGCACCTTAGTGCCGGTCCCTGCTGCAGTGTCCCGCCGGTGGTTCTTCTGTACAAGTTACTCCATGGCGGGATGATCAGGGAGGTGGACAAATGACAAATTTCATGATGCACAAGATCAATTGACTTCCAGCGTGATGTTTCCGTGGCGTGTTGCTGATGTAGCTTGTGCTGTGTGATGGCAGGGTATGTTCTGCTGAACAGGAACAGGATGACACTGGAAAGTGCCAGAGGCAGAGGCTGCCTCAGTGCCAGCATCCCATCGTGAGACACCTTCCTTGTTGCAGCGTCAAGTGACGGCTGTGCTCTAGACCCTCCCCGAGCCCATGAACTTGTTTAGACTCATTAATCCAAGGCCGTGCACACTCCTGCAGCCCGATGCCTGACTGCTGAGTGCAAGCAACCGAGGAGTAGGTCAAGCACGTAACTTTACCCCTCCAGCGCTGCGGTATGCGCAGCATCTGGTAGATCTTCATCCGGCCCAAGGCTGCTTGGCTTGGTTTTGCTCACCTCGGCAGGGTCCCAGTGTGCGACTGATGCGCAGGCAGCACTGCACTACCCCTGCAGCGCACTGGGAAGCAGCAGGGAGCTCACTCGCAGACGGGGAGTGAAATAGCTGGGGTTCACTGAGCCACAGCGTGACACGAGCGTCTCCGTTCACGTGGAGGGGTGTGCGGACCAGTTCGCTCTCTGGGGTTCGTGTGGCCCGACCGGTGAATGTCTTTGCCTCAGTAAAGGAAGAATTACTGCTGTGATGGGCTCTGTTTGGCTCCGTCGCACTAACATGCAGCCCTTCTGTGCCGGAATTTCCTCCTTCAATTCTTGAGGAAGGCTCGGTAGAAATGAAGACCCGGCTAGAAATGCCAGAGTACCAGGCTCCCTGCTTTGGAGAGGAGGCCTGGGGGGTGTCTCGAGGGTTTGTCTGGGGCGTGTCTTTTGAAGTGTGGTGATGGGGAGCTGCTGTTACATGGCAGTACCTCGGGACTGTTGTGAATCAGACATGGACAGCTCTGGCAGCAGCCGGATCACAGTTCTTGTTGAGGTACAGCAGGTCCTGGGTTTCACCTCTGCCCGCCACCGATAGTGTCAGCGTTTCCATCTCCTAACAGCGGAGCTCCTAAGGCTTCGCCCCTGATTACTTGGTCGCTTCCCATAACCCATGACCATGTTCTTAAGGGCTGCTAAAGGCACTGGGAGGAGGGACACGGAGGGTGGCAGTTCTCTGCGCGCTCCGTGCTCTGTGAAGCAGGTGGGCTGTCGTGTACCCACCCATCTAGTACTCCATGGAAAAGCAGCTTCCAGGGCTTTACAGATCTGCATCTTCCCTGCTTCTTGCCTTTGCCCTCCTTTGTGACTGATCTTCAGACCCTGAAACCTGTATTCAATCTGCCATTTTCCCTGTTTCTGACAGAACTGATGTTTGGACAGTGGTCAAGGAAACAGGAAGAACTCCGAGACGAGCGAGATCCAGAATTTGCTCCACCTTCTGATTACTTCCTGGGGCAAAAGGAAAATGACAGTTACAGAAGTCAGAACTCCAGCAGTCCTGAGACCTCTGAAAAACAGGGCACGGAGACGGCGGGAGAGCAAGAGGTGCCGCCAGTGCAGCCCAACAGCAGCAGCACCGAGGGCGGGCCAGCACCAGTGCAGGCTTACCACAGCCATCTGCGAGACCCGGCAGCAGCCACCGCGGCCGGTGGCAGTGACAGACAAGATGGGCCGTCCTCGGCAGAGGATGACAGCAGCGATGATGAGGATGTGCTGCC